GAGTGAGATGAATTAATGCATATTCATATTTATTTTAGAACTACAGTAACATCTGATTTCTCTCAACATGGGGACACCAGAGCTGTCAATCTATACATTAGAAAAAAAAGTAACTTGCGTTACTTATTTGAAAAAGTAACTCAGATATTCTCTTGTAAATTAAAAAGTAATGTGTTACTTTACTAGTTACTTGAATTATAATTATATATAATTATATTTTCAGAATGACATAATTTTTTTCCAAAACATAGTCAGTGGGGTAAAACCCACGCCCCCAGTGGGCAATTACTGTAGTTATTCTGTTCTGAACATCAAATCCATAGTTTTTCCATCAAATGTATTCTACCTAGTTGGTTGAATCAAAATATTTGGACTTTATATTTAAAAATGACCTCAAGTTAGCATCAGGTAGCTAGTTACCTGGCCAGTTAGCGTCAGCTAACAATTTTTTTCAAATAGGCTATTATAATTTTGCAAACCATAATTATTAATTATATTCTTTTTTTATTTTAAGTTAAAACTGCATGCACTCTGATCTTGCTGTAAATGTTTAAAGCAAATTGCTTTGTCAGACTGGGGGGCATTTTACCCCTCCCATGGGGGCGTTTTGCCCCAAATTTGGGGTAAAACGACCCCTTGGTAAAATTTTTTGTTAAAAATCTAATAACATGAAAACTCTGGACATTTTTCATACTTGGTTTATAATTTATGTCAGTGTCACTAAAACGATGATAACTTTTCTGAACACATTTAAGATTGGTTTTACAGAAAAAAATTACACAGTCCTTAACCGCTAGAGCGCCAAAAGTTACATAGTGCTGCTTTTAAATGTGCAAGGCTTCCAGTCTCATCCGCTTTAGCTGTAAAACAACAGTCCGATATGCTGCTCGGCATTGCAAACTGTTATTTATTGTTATAAAAGCTAAGTTTAATTTATTATCGTAGTCATGAACACACTGGTTTGTAAAGCAAATTACATGATGAAATCTAGATTACATATTTTAGGTAATCTGACTACTTTTTAGATTACTTTTGGATTACTTTAAAAATATAAAAAAAATATTTGATATAAAAAAGCAAAGAGAAAGAAAATACATTTCATTTTTTGATATAAACATCATAAAATGCATTAAACCATTGGTTTAACCCAGCATTTTTTAGAGTGTGGGTCTAACTGATCAATTTAAAACGGCCTGAATAAATCTAGACGTTTTTAAAAACCTTTTTTTTTATATAGAAAAAGAATGCTGTTTGTTTCATTGTGCAATCCAGGGACTTGTGTTCAAAGCATAAGTTTACTATGTAATACCAAACCAAGGGCACAGGTAGAACGCAAGCCAGATCTGAAATGGAAAGATACAATGGCAGAATTTTAATGCGAGGCATAAAAGTATTTGCATGACTGGCAAAAACAAGACAACGGCAAACAGAAGTGTTTGAGGTCATTGCAGAACTAGATATTTTGTTGAACAATAGCAATAATAATAAATTTAGCAATTCTGTTTTTCAAATCTTCCATTACTGGTGCAGAAATCTTACAAAGCAGCTTTAACTTGGCAGTATAGAGATACTTCAAGATGAGGTCACATGCATGGGCTTGACTTTGTTGTTTGCTGGTTGTGACCTTACTATATAATTAGGTTAAGCATAAATACATTTTAATTTTCATTGTGTAAAATCACTCTAAAAAAAACAAAGGTTCTTTATTGGCATCTGTGGTTCCATGAAGAACCTTTAACATCCATGGGACCTTTCATTATACAAAATATTCCTTGTATTTGAAAAAACTTACCTGTTTTTCAGGTTAAGAAAAAAAAGGTTCTTTAAGGAATTGTTCACTGAAATGTTCTTTACAGAAATGGTTCTTCTATTGTATTGGTATTGATGAAAACAAAACTAACCTTTATTTTTAAGAGTCAGAGATCAGCGCTAGAGCATTTGCTCATTTCAGGTCAAAAGAGAAATGGCCAAAAAATAACTGAAATTAACATTTCTATAGCACACTTTTTTGCACTCATCTGTGTGCAGACTGAAAACAGCCGCCTGCAACAAACACTCAGCTTAAACATTAAGAACAACAAATTCTAGCGTTGGATCGCTACTCATTATAACACATCCTAAGATGATGAAAACTCTTGACCAAGAACAGCAGATCCTTCTTCTGGATTAGGTAAATGCGTGGCTGCTTCAAAATTAGCCTTAGAGAAAAGTGAGACAGATGGTCTAATGTCACCAACATGGTGCAATATTGCAACTTATTTAACTACAAAATATTTATAAAAAGAAATGCCTATAGGGTTGGTGGGTGTTAAGCACAAAACCATAAGAAGAGCTGTGCAGAAAGATCAAGCTGTATGCATCAGAAATGCTAAATACATAATAGGGTTGGAATGCTGACTGTGACGGAGAGCCTGATGCAGCAGTAGACGCTTCTCCTGTCAGTTCCTGTTAGTGCTGGGTACTCTCTAGGTAAAGACATCAAGCAGAGTCTGTGATGCCCCGGGAAGCACACAGAAACAGGGTCAGAGCACTTGCCTGACTGCTCACATTATTGCTCATGATGCTAAACGAGCGGAGGAACAGCTGCAACATCCTGCAACCTAATCTAGCAATGTTTTTCAGACTCAGAAGCTGCCGATGTTTTCAGCTATAAGTCTAGAGCAGGGTCGAGCACGATCAATACCACGACCTGTAGGGTCACAATACTATAAAAAATTATAGCAACTACTAATCTGTACTCTGTTTATAAATTGATTTGTAAACCATTCCCTCATTACAACAATTTGTGTGCAGAGGTTTGTAAACTGATCCCAGTTTAGCAATCTGAAAAGCTATGAAAAAAACATTAATCACCTGTACACTGGGGGAACAAATGGTGTAGAAACTTTACAAATAAATGGCAAATAACACACTGAACTAAATGTGAATTTTTTAAGTAGAAAGACTGAGATAGTATTTTTCTTGTAAATCATAGTCCAATAATTTTACGTTCAATGCAGCATGGCAACTTCGATTGCTTTTTGTTACAGAATATATTTTCATTTATTACACAAATTGTAATGAGAGTGAAGGGAGTTGTAAAGAGACTGATGAAACATCACTCTTGGAAATGTGTTCATAATGGCATCTGTTTTTCATCAGGCAAATGGAAGAAGCCACTTCGGATGTCACTTTAGTCACTTCGGATAATTAATAAATTGGAATTGATTAAATGTCTTTATTTCAAAATTTTAATTGTAACCATTGGTAAGATCATATTATATCAGAAATGGTATCTACATGACATTTTAAATAAACAATTAATAGTTATAAATAATGAGGTTATAAATAATAAATAGCTCTAAATTATGAGGTATATAAAGCTATAATATATGAAATATTATAACTTTATAACATATAATGCTATAATATATGAATATAAAGCTATAAATAATGAGGTTTAAAGGGACAGTTCACCCAAAAATGAAAATTCTGTCGAGTTTGTGTTTTGTTTTGGTAGGGTTACATAGGGGCAGCAAATTTCTGTAAACTTTCCGAAAATTCCCAAAATATTCTGAAAGTTTCCAAAAAAATCCTTCCAAGTTTCGAAAATGTCTGTATTCTGTGATTTAAAGTGAAGCGTGTCATTTTTCAATGCTAAAATACTTTTTTCCTTTCCCAGTTTAATTTTGGAAGGTTGAAAACTGTGGCACAAATTTTTTTTTTCATTTCCTTTTTTTTTTTTTATCCAGACAACGACAAATTAAATGTGGGTTCATTCATTCAAACAATCATTCTTCTTACCATTTCAATTAAAGATTGAGTTCATCTGTGGTATTAAGGCTTCATTCTTGTTTTCTTTTAAGCCTGGTGAAGGCCTGTTTTGAAATGTGTTGACTTGGGTCATCAACCACAATGTTATCTTATGTCACTCTGAATTGATTGCTTAATTCTCACCTATAGAAATGGTCCAGACAGAAATTATTTTGATCATGGTCTTGCGAAGTGTGTTGCCACGGCTGTATTTGATTGGATTACGGATGCCGATATAGCGGTCCAGAGAGATGGCGCACAGGTGCATGATGGAGGCTGTGGAGAAAAGCACATCAAGGAAGATCCACATGGGACACAGCAGTTCAGGGAGAGGCCAGGAGTGATCTGGAAACAGACAACAAGAGGAGATGTTTCAGAGACACAGGCACAGACCGATAGAAGTAGAGCAGAGTGTCTGGTCCTTTTAACAAACCGTGGTAACATACACACACACACACACACACACACACACACATATATATATATATGTATATATATATATATATTGCATAAAGACATTTAAGCCCATCCAATGGCAATCAAGATTTTTTTTAATGATTTATTTTTATGACCATAAGAAAACTATTACTGTTATGAGAATGATAATTTTGTGTGTGAATCAAGTGTGCACCTGAAATGTAAATTTATGTACAGGTAGGTTTCCTTTAAAAAAAAAAAAGGATAGTACTTACTGTAAAGAATACTAATTAGTGAGGCTGGCATAACTAGGAATCCCACCAGCATGTCTGCCACGGCCAGTGAGCACAGAAAGTAGTTGGTGGCATTGTGCAGTTTGCTCTCGATGGACACGGCCATAATTACCAGTATATTCCCCGCAACAGTAAAAAATATAATGGCCAGAATGAAAAGGGCTGGCCAGTTCTTCCCCGTGGGTTGTGTGTCCTCTAATTCTGGGAGGTTGGATTTGAAATAGCTGTGGTTGAGGTCCAAAGAGACATTCCAGGGAAGAGTAACGTTCAATAAGGCCATTGTGGTAGAAGTAAAACTGAAGTCTGATAGGGCTCTCAGCAACTGTCAGTGTTGATTCTGTGCAATCAGTCTCAGGTGTCAACTGACTTCAGGCCATCTTTGTTAGAACTGCTTACTCTTGTGGTTGTGTGTCCTACACCTAAAACAGACGGAAATACTGGTTAGACAGACAGGCAGACAGACAGAGACAGACAGACAGACAGACAGAGGATAGACAGACAGACAGACAGATAGATAGATAGATAGATAGATAGATAGATAGATAGATAGATAGATAGATAGATAGATAGATAGATAGATAGATAGATAGATAGATAGATAGATAGATAGATAGATAGATAGATAGATAGATAGATAGATAGATAGATAGATAGATAGATAGATAGATAGATAGATAGATAGATAGATAGATAGATAGATAGATAGATAGATAGATAGATAGATAGATAGATAGATAGATAGATAGATAGATAGATAGATAGATAGATAGATAGATAGATAGATAGATAGATAGATAGATAGATAGATAGATAGATAGATAGATAGATAGATAGATAGATAGATAGATAGATAGATAGATAGATAGATAGATAGATAGATAGATAGATAGATAGATAGATAGATAGATAGATAGATAGATAGATAGATAGATAGATAGATAGATAGATAGATAGATAGATAGATAGATAGATAGATAGATAGATAGATAGATAGATAGATAGATAGATAGATAGATAGATAGATAGATAGATAGATAGATAGATAGATAGATAGATAGATAGATAGATAGATAGATAGATAGATAGATAGATAGATAGATAGATAGATAGATAGATAGATAGATAGATAGATAGATAGATAGATAGATAGATAGATAGATAGATAGATAGATGTGTGAAGAGGCTGGCTGGTTGCACACATCCTATTCTTTTGAAGCAATTACTACCAAATATTGACACATGTAAATATCTGTTTAAACTCAGAGTGAAATGTCTTGTTTCTTGTAGGAAAAAGATCAGACATTAAACTCTTTATGTCTTATGAGTTGAATAGTTCAGCTCTAGCTTCTATTGTATTGTATCTGACAGCAGATATTTTGATTATATTATCTAGAAGACATCTTCATACCTGTGCAATTCATAAGATATAGCAAGACCAGACTATACTGAGCATTACTGCTTGCATAGCAGTCAGGCTTGTGAACAACTGATGCATCATGACTCCATCAGCTGAGTCACTTTTTAAAGCTTGCAACCACCATTAGATGTAAAATCTGGGTCGTAAAGCAAAACCAGTTAAGAGTCATTGGACTACAAAATGTCTTGGTTTGATGACTGTCTGAATTAACCACAAATCCTGAACCCCAGTCTTTATTTCAATGCTTCGGTATAGAATGAGCACTGTATTAATATTATTATAGTTATTAATATAACATATCACACTGATTGTACCACGTTACATTGCATTTGAATGTTGCACTTTACTCTGTACTGTTAAACATACTTGTTACATCTTATCTCAATTTGGATTCAACCTGGCATAACTCATCTCGAAGACTGTATTCTGTAAACACATATAGACCTTAGTCAATTCATATTGAATTTTTACATGTGAGGGATAAACTTCCAGTCTTTAAAATAACACAAGCTGTATAAAGTCTCAAAACTTTGAAAACTGTTTTATTGTCTAGTTAAAAGTTTTTTGGAAAGATGCTTCATCAACAAACAACAGTACAATCCTGTACTTCTGTCCCTCACAGCCTTGTTTTCATTCCTATCAAAGATGAAATATGATGCTACCCTGACTGAAGGTCTGTGATATTTGAAAGCTGTGAGTGGGGGCAAGATTTTCAATAAATAATGATTTAAATTTCGATCTGTTTCTCACACAAATCTATCTCAACTTGGAATGTAACTGCACAAGTCACATGGACTACATTCATGGTATTTATATGCCCTCTTTGGAGCAGCCGTTGTTATTATGTACATCACTGTATGAAAGAGTGACATTAACATGATCCTTTTTCATGTTTTCTATGGAAGAAAGAAGGTTATAAGGGTGTGGGAACAACATGAAAGTGAGTAAACAATGACCACTTTAATTTTTAGGTAAACTGTTTTTTTTCTTCACAGGTGGATGATGAGGAGTGTAAACAGACGTGACTTGATTTGCATGGCTCGCAGTAATTTGCATTTTATCACCAAGAAACAGCTGCAGTGACTTGTAGTCAAATATATTTCTTGATCTTACCCTTTTTGCCTGTGGCAAATTCCATGCTTGTTATATGAAATTTGGACGTGATTCACAATTGCCCAATTGATCACAGAACAGATTTAAAAGGAAAAACTCTTCATTTGCAAAGTGTTGCAAAATAATGTAACCAGGAAAGAAAAGACAAGAAAAGAAAACTACTGTAACAAAGGTATGGGAATGAACACTTGAGCAAAACTGAATGACAGAAAGCAAATAGTTGTCACAATATCACAATGTCTTGTTTGAGCAAACTTTCCTGAACTGCTATCCTCTGGGCATTTAAGCACTCTGCCAAGAATGCCAGTAGGGCAAGGAACTAGTTCAGCAGTATGTCGGTTCAGCCCAAAAAGAGTAAACATCAGCGCAAAGCAGCACTTGTGCACTTCACTCTCAAGGAAAGTTCATTAAACAAATATTTGAAAACAAATATTTTTTGAGTTATCTTGATATTTTCTAGCTAAATATGAAGGAGGAAGTATGTTGTTCAAGGAACTTGTGAGTAGGGGAGTGTTTTTGAAACTTTTGTATACAGACATGTAAAATAAATTCGGTACACTTTACTTAAAGCCTTTATGTATAATATCTTATAAAGGGTTATTAGAGCGTATAATGCATTATAATTATTCATAATGTCGTAAATAATTATAACCGAATTTAAAATGCATAGTGTAACAATGAATTGATAAGTGTTATAATGTACTAACTGTGGTTACAATTATTGAGATTATGCAATGCGGTGCATTACAAGGCATAATTAATGACTTAAAACTACTTCTATAATACATTATACAAAAAGGCTTTAAAGTAAAGTGTTACCATAAATGCTTCTTAATGGATTAACAGTGCAATGGAAATTTTGTGGCAGGAAAAAGTACACAAATTGTTTAAAAAATATATGGATTTTTTGCATTGATTACTTATAAAATCATAAATGTGGTCCGATCTTCATCTAAGTCAGCTGTAGACAAACACAATCTGACTTAACCAATAACACACACACAAAAGAGTGATTGTTGCATGCAAGCAAAACCTCTTCTCATCTGTAAAGTAGGAGCATCATGGTTTAATGCTGCTCTAGGGTCTGGAAACTTCGCAAATGTGCATCAAGATATTCATGACTTCAAGCTTTAGACAGGTTTGGTGGTGCAATAAAACAATGACTCAATGCACACAAGGAAATCAAATAAATTATGGCTGAAAAAGACAAAAATTTGTTTTTCTGAGTCCCAACCTTAAGTCAAATGAGATGCACAACCTAAAGAGGGCTCTGCCATCAAGACAACGGTGAAGTATTGATAAACTGAAAGTTTACCTGAAAGGATCTACAGGTTACTACATTCAAGGGTTCACCTTCCTTTTCCAAATGATTAATCAGCATATGCAACAAAGATGTGAAAAGTATTTTTGTACTATTAGTTTAGTGTTCGTCTATAATTGAGAGTTCGGGAAATAACTTGTTGTAGTCCCTACCAGCTGTTTTTGTAGGCATTAAACTGCCAGCATTTTAAAAGATGACATCTCCATTTGCATTGGACTTTCAGCTTCGTAACTTTGCAGATATTGTTTATGCCCAAACAGCAACATTACACACTAACTAAAGTTAAAAAAGTGAAATCGCAATCAACCACTCCTTTAAGATCAGACCAGATTTTTATGAGCAATCAATGCAGAAATCCTGATATTTTCAAAGCGCTCTATTATGTACATCATGTATGTATTAGGTGAGTCATGTTCACTGCTGGCTGCCAATATTCCTCCTTTGTGATGAAGTTTTACGATCATACCAAACCTGTTTCAAAAAAAATAAAAAAGGGCACGCTGGGACATCAAAAGCCAGATTCACTAAGAAAGAAGTTAAGGCATTCCTTAAGATAAATTCCAAGATGATTGTGGGAATATTCATAAGTACTGTACATTTCTTGAAAAATTCCTAATAAGTTCTCGAAGATTTTCTTAAGAACATCTTTTTTTCTTAAGAAGAAAAATTACAGGCCTCAGGAATACCACAATACCACAAACACAGTTCGTCACTTATAAAACAATGACCTAAAAACCACAAACAACTGTTAGCATTACACAACATCTTCTGTAAAATTACTCTCTACTGTTAGAATTCACCACAGAATCCACGGTCCACATTTACATTACAGCATTATTCTGCCAATGTTTCAGTTTTCCATTTTGTGTAGATGAAACTGAAAGACAAACACCTGTGCTGGTGTTCAGCTACTGTACATCTAATTGTTTTGATAGTATTTCATTTTTTTAGATTTGGAATATATTTCAGTATGGTGCTACTGTAGAATTGTAGCAAACTGCTCTCTTATTCAGTTTTGTATTATGTTAGTTTTTGAACTTGGGTTAAGCAGTTTTGATGTAAACATGCAAACCGGCCTGTAGAGTTTTGGCAGTGGTTGCGTCTGAGAGAGAAAATAATTCATGCAATTTGAAAGATGTAGTTGCTGAATGCATGTTGTGCATTTCTCATAAATGATCTGGTGTTGTGCTCACTGTGTGAAGGGTTTTGAAAATTTGTAAAAAATACATGCTTATGTATCAGGATGGAGAGGTCTGAATAACCCAATACCCTAAATAAACCAGTTAATTCATAAAATATCCTACCTTTAGGGAATTAAGACAAGATGGAAGTTAACCTACAATGATTTTTTTTTAAAGAAAACAGCAGTAAAGAAGAATTTTTGTTTCGTGAACCCGGTCCCAGGATGACTTCAAGAATACAGTTGTAGCCTACATTGTCTCGTACAGTTCTTGCACAGCTGTCATTGCCAGCGGGTGCATTGAGGGGTCAGATTCCCCATTATATGTAAGTATGAATTTGGAAAAGATGCTATTTTAAAATGTAAGTCTCAAATGTATTTCT